ATGGGGCCTATTGGATATATTTGTATTACCTATTGACTACCCAGGTATTCAATTCAACTATTGTACTATAATAGTGTCTTCACTCTTATTCTGTGAAACTTGTCCTTGTTACTTCATATCGACATGGTTTTACTTAAATCGTTTTTTTTAATCATAAAACGATTTTTGCAAGTTCTAAATGTTGGCTAATCTAAAATTGATCCAAGTATTAACACCTAGGTAGAAAAAATAGGTTGAACGATAAAAGTTTTATATTAAGAATTATGATCTTATTGTTGGTCAAGTATTGAAGTATTTTTTAACATACCATTTATTCATTATTGTGAACTTTCTTTTAAATTGAAGTTTTTTGTACTGAGTCAAAGAATGATAACTTGTCCTATTTTAATAAAATGTTTTAAATAATATATTAATTTTTTTTTGCCTAATGCCGTATAACCATATCACTGAAAATGTACACAAATTGAAATAAACAAGAATTCATCTAGATAAAAATGTAATCATTTTTTCTACATCTAGACAAATTATTAGTTGTCCATTCAACTATTCCCAAATCCCAACAAACTGATTAGAGACGCTCACACCAACTGAATAGGTTTACATATTGTAATTAGTGTAAATAATGTATGTAGTTGAGTGCACGCAGACACAAACATGGATGGCAGATATACCGAATATATAATACTGTTGGTGAATACTGGTAAGAAGTACAATTACCTATTTGTTTGTGATGACTATGTTCTCCCAGAGTTATATTTTGACATAAAAGTAGGTTAAGAAAATTACATTACAAAAAAAAAATTAATTTTAAAAGTTTAACTTCAAATTGTAATCCTATAAATTGAGTGCCTATTATAGATACCTAATACACCTGATGTTATAAATTACCGATAAAACATGTTTTGTTACCTATAAAAAAGGCGATTTGCAGAGGACCTACCACACTTTATTTCTTTAATAATGGAGTTATTCAAAATCTGATTCTTGGAAATTATAAATACACTTAAAGACCATAATATTTTTGAATACTTAAGACTTTTTGTGCTATCTCTAGTAGATAATTCGGTGACCCACATCATTAAATTTAAAAATGACCTGTTACCATATGTTTTCTCTAAAATTAAGTTATTTATTTAAAACTTTAAAAGTAATTATTTTGTCATCCGTCCTCATGAGCGACCAGCGGGTTGCTATACTTCTGTTTTTATTAAACAAATAATACAAAATAATTTAAGAAAATATGTAATATTATATCTTAATCTTACATTAGATTTGAATTTCTTATCTGAAATATTATATTTAATATTTTTAGTCCACAGACATGAGAAATGTAGAGCTATGATAGTAAAACAAAATTATTTCCAATCAATAAAAAGAACCCCACTAGGATACAAAGCTACAACATTGTCAAACTTTTACATTGCCTGTTTTTCACAACAGCAGTTTTGAAAAAAAAAAACATTTTGAAAACAAATTATTTTAGTATTTTTAATATATTTACCTGTTACAATGGAACAGATCTATTGCAAGTGCTCTTTTTCTTATTTGTTGATAATAATAAAGCGTTATTAATTTTTATGTTTTACAAAGTAGTTTAACAACAATACGTACACAATTAAAATATCATGAGTACAAACTACTTTTGATTTATCTAGATAAATACCTAATAAAAATATAATTAATCTTTTAATAGTGTTTAAAAATTAAAATATAACTATAAAAATAACAATTTAACAATAATTCTATTAAACATTTACTGCATATTTTTCACTTCTGTTTGATTCCAAGGATAAATGGTACCTAGGAATTTCATTTTTTTTGTCATTAAATTCTTCAACTCTATTATCGATACATCGAAACTGCCATGGCCACATAACATTATATAGAAATGGACGATGATCAAACCGGTTATCATCTGGACTATATGCTTCAGCGTGATAACTAGGAGTCAAGATTGTCATTTTGTGTCTATTTATAGCATAACATCTAAAAAAGTGTTTTACTTTTTCAGCTATTTGTTCGGCCGTATATTGATCACCCCACAATAACAACAGCTTACAAAACATACTGTATGGGCCACAATAATTTTGCTTTCTCAACTTCCCATAAACACTGAGCTCGTCATAAGTCATGCCCATATCTGCTTCATCTGACTGTGTAATGCGTCCAGCTATCAAGGGCTCTAGTTCTGCTGTAGGAGTGGCATTTATTATATCATCAATTGATGTCAATGAATACTTAGTTCTAAAATATCTAAGAAACATTTTGAGATCCGATTTTGAAATGCCGCCAATTGGATTGACATCTGCACTTGAACAGTCATATTTTGTCATATATCCTCTTAAAGCTTCATCAACATTAGCTGAACCCAAAACCAAAAGTCCTCCTTGTCGACCACGGACCCAAAGCATTAATTGGGCGAATAAGTATGTTAGAACCATTCTCAATCGAGCCTGTACATTTTGTAAGGCAAGAGATTCACGTGGAGATCCACCATATACAGCAAATTGTGGTGTCTTACCAGTTAGTCCAACAAAGACTGAGATCACAGATGATACAACCTTATCAATAACAACACTTAAATGATAGCTAGATATTTGAGAAGATAATTCTTCTGCTCGATTTTTAGTTTGAGAAGATGAATTCTCGGTGGCCATGTAACATGTTGTGAATAATTGATTACACAGTTCTCTGGCATTAGGAGGGAAATAATTTTGTTGACCAACTATCATACGTACTTCATTCAAAACTTGTGTGTCACCGTCTTTACACGCCTGATATATTAAATTGCACATTGAAAATACTATGCATGCTGTACTTGATGAATCAACACCACCACTCAATGGCAAAAAGTATCCACCTTGCTTAGAACGTCTTAAATAATCCCAAAGCCAACATGCTGGACCTAAGGCGATCTCTTCTTCAGGAGATAAACATTTAAATTCTGTTAAAATGGGATCTGGTATTTTACGTGTTTCTCTCGATAAACTAAAGTCTTGAACATTAATCCTGTGGTAAGGTTCTGCACTAGAGCTGGATCTAGACCTTATAGCATTTCTGTAGCTGCGAATGTCTTCTAAATCAATTGTAGCGCACGTAACTTCCACTTCTTTTAGATTGAATTGAGTACCAACTTTTATTAAAGAACCATTCATCACAATATTTGAACAACCATTGAAGTACACACGTTGGCCATCACATCCTCTGAGATTACTATACAAATAACATCCACCATTTTTAAAAGTGGCAGATTTTATCAGATCTAAAACAATTGAAGATTTCCGTAATTCCATATAAGAGCCAGAACTATTAACAATTATTTCAACGCCATCCATGCATAAAGGGATATGTGTACTATTTGGGGTCCACAATTCTTCACATATTTCATACCCAATACATGTATCGGAGGTGGCAATAACAGCATCGCCAAAGGGTACAATAGTTTGACCTGTATGTTTTTGCACAACTCGAGGTAGATAAAAATCTTCTACTGTGCGTAATTTTCTCCACGGAGTAAACCAGCGAGATTCTCTATAATTACCAGAATCACACATGAGTAATTTGGGTCTTATCAATAAAATACGTTTGTTAAGAAACACAACTCGACAATTGTAGGTGGAGTTCTTGTGCATCACTGGCATGCCAACATCAATCTAAATGTGTAAAATTAATATAATTAATGTATTTAAAAAATAATAGGTGCTATAACATGATTAAATATTTTCTGTAACAAACCAAAATATCTGATGAAGATTGATGAATCATTATTTCAACCAGAACTTGCCAAGAGTGTAAGAGTGTGTCACTCTCAAGGAAGTGATCTTCACAACTGTAACCACATATTTCAAGTTCAGGTCCACTACGATATGTTGCATTGGACTGCTTTGCAATTTCAATGCTTTCCAATATCCGACGTTTATTACCTTCAAAATCTAATGACCACTGATTCAAACAACTTACGGCTACAGTAGCTAAGCGACCCATTTTTATAACTGAAACATAAAAATGTAGATGGGTAAAAATAGAAATATTTTCAATTCACCAAATTTGATATTAGAGAAAGTTTAGTCCATAAAATAAGGTAGTATACAGTTAAATTCAATATGTTTTTAAATGCATTAATTAGAAATTGTGGGAATTTTCTAAATTGGCAACAACATAATTTGTATATATTAAAAGCATTCTAAGAGAATACAAATTAATATTTACACTAATGTAAAAGATTCCTAGATTCAATAAATAAACGAAATGCACAATATTTTGTGCTACTCGGATATGCGGTCTAAATATTACACACAAGGTTTAGTGTTTGCATGTTTGTAAATAATTTAGAAAACTGTAAGACCAAGGGGTACCTACACCAAACTGCTTCAATGTCACCCAGACCATTATTGTTGGAAGATCACTAGATATAATAATAATTGATATATCAATAATGTGTAGCATTTTTAAATAACATCTCAACAGGTAATTCTTGGTAGTATGTATAAATTAATTTAATACAATTTTTTTGATAATCCTACTTTGTTTGCATAAACCTAATGTATTATTTATTTGGTATATTTTTTCGTTTTTTATTTGGTAAAGGTATATTTTTTTAAACACACATTCCTAGGTACCTATTACATGCCTATTAGATATGTTATTATTCACAACAATATTAGTAGGTACCTACCAAATAATAATAACACCAATAATACTTGACTGTTCAATAATGTAATTGCCGGTGATATAATTTATATTGTAAATTTGTAAATAGGTTATCTAGATAGGTATATCAAATTATAACTAATATATTTCATATTACGGGTATCTACTCACCAATAACGTAGGTGTAGAAATTCTTACATTAATCGTCAAATTGCGAAGATATTATTATTGATTATTACTCACATTTAATACAGTTCAGTGCTCACGACGGTGTTTGATCAATCAGTTTCCATGTTCTAAAACGTTACAAAAGGCATGCAGTCTGCTTGGATTGCGTTTCCTTAGTTACGCAGCTGTGCAGCACTACCGTCTACCACAGTCCACAGGTCTGACTGTCGTCCGAGGTCGTTAAAGACTACAGATAGTATGATATCAGTGGATATCACGTACTTCAGGTAGTTCAATTAAATTGCTTCAAAAATTGAGTGGGTGGGTAATAAATAATTGAGTATACATCCTAGTTTTCTTGCTATAATTAAAAAAACACGGGAATGTTGTTAAATTATTCACATATAATTAGTAAGGTCGATTTCACAGTCGTTTGAAGGGGTGGGCGGGTCAAACTATTTGAAAATTTTGAACTGCCAGTTTAAATTCCATTCCGCTTCCCTGATTATGATACACCTATATTGTATTGTTCTCTGCTAATAGGAATGCGATGATAATAAATGATAACATGTTCACACAGTATCATAGCCCTGATACGACGATCAACATTTTTTTTTTTTTTTACAATGAATTCTTAAGGCGTAATTACTAATTAGTGAATATTTCACTATATTATAACCATGACTATAACTATGTAGAGCTAGGATGTTGATGACTTTTGCATTTTTTTTTCTATGTTTCTATACAATGCTATCCTAGCTAAAAATTTGTTTCACGCACCCTTGATGCAGAGTATTCTAATTTTATCTTGCATTTTTAGGCATTTTTAGCTATAAATGTATTTTTTTTATTTCTCAACACTTTTGGGCCTTTTTTTGTAGTTTTTGTACAATATGGGCCATGCGGCATATTTCCCAAATTTTTGATTAGAGCAAGTGTTAAACCCAAATTTAATTTATTTTTAATAATTTTGAATAATGCTTGAAATGTAAATGTATACTACCTACCTATTGTTTATTATTATAATTTATAATTCATATTGAAAATTACTATCACACCCATATCTATAATAAAAATTATTATTTATAAACACATTTTTTCTCACATGCTTAACTAGTTTTTTAGATCATTTTTAAAGTAATTTTTTGAAGTTTTTAGGGCACTTTTGCAATTTTTTAGGGAATTTTCGCATTTTTTGGGGGGAATTTGTGTGTGTTTGTTAGGTCATCAACATCCCAAGTCTAATAATAATGTATTACGCAATGCCAGTACATACTCAAGTACCCACTTGCCGTATTGCGCAATTAATTATTTATTGTAATAGGTAATAGAAAACTGTGTTTAACATTGGTTCTCTGTACCTACTCGTATTAAAATATAGGTTAGGTTTGTACCTGTTGGCTGTTATACAAGTTCGAAATGTTAGGCTGAGGTTCTATAGGTGAAATACGTACGTTTTGGGTACACATTAATATTAATACATTATACGTCTTATATGTGTACTGTGTAGGGTTAATAGTGGCCATGTAGACGTCCCATCATCCAGTTACCAAATTGACAGGTGTATAGCCAGGATTTTTTTTTNGGGGTACATGTGAGGGCTTCACACTTCATTGTAGTCAGTGGTGTATTACTATAAATATTCATGGATTTACGCTTTCTTGACGCGGTTAAATCTTAGATATCAATGATAGTCTTAACGCATGATTATGTCCGAGCACATTTTTATTGTCATACAAAAAGTCCAAAAATTTAAATTATTTTATTCAATTTTCATCTATAATTATATGTAATTAGTAATTACTAAGGAACGCAATTAATAGGAGTTGGATACTGATTTTGAATTAAATTGTTGGATATATGTTTTTCTAAACTGTTCATATAGGTCAGCCTGGCACCCCGAAATCAAAATTTTAAAGTCAAACCATACTAAAAAATTATTTTTACACAATAGTGTGTATACCTTATCTACAAAACTTCTGCGATGTTTGCATTAAATTATTTTTAATTATTATTATTCCAATAGTCATTGATGTTTGTCTTGTCTTATTTTAAGTTATTATTTCTGTAGTCATAGATGTTTCTATTTTTTTAAATTAGTATATGGAACTATAATTTATATTTTCGGATTTTTTGTCCCACAATAAAAAAATTAATCCGATCTATTTGTCCAACTTTTTTCGAAGTGGACTTTCGTCCGGGATTCATTAAACTATCTGAAACCGGTTAATGCAATGGTTCTCAAAATATTTTTTGGTAATCAATTAATAATATTATGTAAATAGTATATTAATTACTAAATAGTAAATAGGTTCTATCTGAGAAATTAAAATTACAAATAATTATAGAGCATTTTGTTTTCATCACCAAAAATTCTAATAAATATATGGTGCTATATGGCCATAACCAGAGTACCATCGTTTATTTAGAGTATAAGCTAAAAAAAAATAACTAGGGAAGTGAGTATACGTCGTATAGGTACCCAACAGTACACCACAGATTGTAGTCATCAACCTTTATATTAACAATATCAAATATGACATAGAACCATATAATATTATGACAATATATTTTGTGGAAATCTGAACCATATAGTATAAATATGTTTTGCATTATACGGCTTATGTTGTTTCAAAACCTCTCTGGGCTCAGGCTCTGTAAATAGAATCAGGTAGCATTACATGTTTTACCGGGCAAACAAACTTTTCCAAAAATCATTCTTTTGCAAGAATCAGCAATTCTTCTCATCAGCACGTTGACAACATTTACCTACCTATTCTTTTCTTAAATTTATTTTCATTTTCACTATTAATAACCCTGTTATCTATAATATGCATATAACTGTTATTGTAACTAAAAGCCAGTTGGCCTAAAACATATTTTGGTTTTTGTGTTTTCAGTTTTAAATAATAATTTAATATTGTACTTCAAAGCGCAATGATTTGGAAGGGTAATATGTTTGCATTCTTACATATAATTTGATTTTACACAGTGAATAATTCTTTGTATTAATATTTTTACAGGAAATAGCCATTACAGACATTGAACCAAGAACCACAAGAATAGGGATTATGTATAAAAAATAAATATAAACTGATAATTAACTAGTAAACTGACACTACTGCAGTATACTTAGATAAAAATTTATATAATTTCAATGTTTTTACAGTTTTATCTCTACAAAAACACATAACATCTTGATTTAATATATTATACAACTTACAGGAATAAGAATGTACTTGTGCCTGAAAAAAAAAATTGTTAGATGCTACAAGACAGTATTATGTAATATTAAAGCATGTAATTGAAATTTAATAATTTTTACACATTGATTTAATCTTCAAAATGAATTTGGGTGTTTATAAAAATAAAATACTTTTACTTATTGTATTATAATTTTTAAAATGTAATATAAAAAGAATATTTACTTTTAGTTGTTGTTATTTTTGAGAATATTAGTTGAAAACAATTTAAAAGGATAGAATATTTATAACCATGGATCATTAAATAATAACAAGAAATGATTTTACTATTTTCTACCAAATATAATAATATAGTATGTATACAATGAGTAAAGAATACTATTTAATATTCTTATAGTTCAATTTTATTTTCAAAATAATATTCTAGATTGATTGGCTAAAACAGAAATTAAAAATCATATGTTTTCTAATATTTTTATACTTGAATAGAAACTAGTGTACACAGAAAATATTCAAACTTTGTAAATAATATATTGTAACAGGAAAATGTAGTTATATACGGATGTCGTATAACATATTTACATGATTAAGTATAATATACTGGATAATCCAGTAAATACAATAACTTTAGAACCAATAAAATGCGTGTACGCTAAAAAATAATTTATTTTAAATTATAATTATTGAATAACAAATTACATTACATTAAATTACTTAGCTTTGATACAAGACCAAATATTCACTTACCAATAAACACCAGTACAAATACTCAACGATCAATTTCACCAAACACAACATCAAGTGTTCCTAAAAATACAAATATTAAATGTAAATGAGTCACCGTTCAATGCTTAAAAATAATATTACGAATTTGTTGAAATAAGTTAATAATTACCAATAATAGCGACAATATCAGCAAGGAAGTGTTTTTTCCCTATCTTCTCTAATGCAGCAAGATGTGCAAATCCAGGTGCTTTGATTTTACATCTATATGGTTTAGAAGTTCCATCAGAAACTAAATAGACACCAAATTCACCTATAAAATATAATTAATGATTATTAAGAATTAAAGAAAATCACAAATATTTTTATGTTACCCTTGGGTGCTTCAATGGCGGTATATGTAGCACCTGGAGGTACTTGATAACCTTGGGTAAACAATTTGAAATGATGAATTAAGGCTTCCATGGAGTTCTAAAAGTATAAGTAAGTTAGTTTTAGTGCTAATTGCTAAGTATATTGGATATGGATTTATTACTTTCATCTCTGATCTTGATGGTGTTGATACTTTCATGTCATCAGTTTTAATTTCTCCAGCTGGCATTTGATTCAAACACTGTTCAATAATTCTAAGTGATTGCCTCATTTCTGCAACTCTACATAAATATCTGAAAATACAAGAAATACATTAAAATATTTAAAAAAACATAACATTACTTGAAAATATAAAATAAATTAGGTACACATATTAAAATAAATTAATTGATATTGCCTCATGAATAGTGAAAGGATATAATAGATTTATTATATTATGAAATTGTTTTTTCAATTCGTTTACAGCAAGTGATGGGCAGTTAGATAATTTCTAAAAATAAACACAGTAGGTATAATAAACGTCTAACTATCAAATGGTACTTCTGCTATAAAACATTTATAACAAGGATAAAAGAAATCTATTTTGGATATTTTTTTAGAATTTCATAATAATTGTATTATTATTCATAGATTTTACAAAAAGCTAAATATTTTATAAACGTAGATGTATTATACATCCATACAAATTACAATTTATTATTATGAATACCTTTAGTTATAGCTAGGACTTGGATTTTAATGTACTTATCACAGTAGCCTGAACGCTTAGGCTCAACTCATATTAGCTTTTTATACATCAATAATATTTGGTAGATTTATGGTGCTTCAGTCAATAAAAGGTGAGAACAATCTCTAGCAATAAGTTTGCATTCATGCATATTAATATGATACAAAATTGTCTTAGTAGATGGGAAAAAATGGAATTACTGTGAAATATGAATCCACGACAAATGATGAAAAAATCAGGTATGGCTTATTTTGTTACAAATCAATTGAAACAAACTTATACCTTTCTCAAATTAATTCATAAGGTAGTATAATACATGACTTGAATGACTTGAGGGGGGAAAATCGTCCATCAACAGTACCTCCTAATAATGATGAGTTCTCAATCGAGACCGTTTTTTTTATTGTGTTAGGCAAGGGCGTCTCTTGGCCATTTTCTTTTTAACCTTCCAGGAGGGTTGCTGGGGATGATTAAAGAGGACATGCGAGAAATAAGAGGGTTTTGGTTTAGGTGTAGTTTGGAGTATTAAAATATATGTATTTACATTAAATTCTGAGCTCTAATCATAAATCAGGTTAGGATGTCTGGTTAGTTCAAAATATAGCAAAATGTAATAGAAATTTCTGAAGATATGCTATTTTAATTTTATTCATTTTTAGGATATCTTCCAATTTTAACATTTAAACATTTTTAAGTCATATTGTCGGGTTTATTTGTAGTTTTCAAGTATAATAAATTATTTTTATATAATGTATGATTTGTACTGTTTCATAAAACAAAGATGATAAACATTAAGTTCTTATAACATTTCATTTTAAAATTGCATATTTTAATTTTATTTTATAGAATCAATGTATAATGCAACATTTTTTATCACATATTTTTATGGCATTTTGCAGTATAATTGTAATATTTAAGGCATTAAGGGCATATTTTGTAGGTTTTTGTAGCATATTATAACTTTACTAACCTGTCATAACAATCACCACGAGTGCCAATAGGTATATCAAAATCGACAAGATGGTATGCATCATAAGGTTGTGTTTGACGTAAATCCCATTTGATACCAGAACCGCGCAACATAACACCACTTCAAAAAGTATATCATTATTTTAACTTCATTAAAGTTTTAATTAACCTGCATGAAACTAACCTAAAACCTAAATTTAGAGCGTCTTCAGCACTCACAACACCTATATCACGTGTCCTAGCAATCCAAATTCCATTATTAGTAAGCATATCTTCAGTTTCATCAATACGTTCCCCAAACTTTGCGGCAAACTGATAAATATCATCCATTAACCCAAGTGGTATATCCTAAATGAATTAATTTTTATGTAAATATAATACATTCAATATTATTAATGAGTTATGATGTTTACATACTTGAGACACGCCTCCAGGACGTATGTAGGCAGCATGCATTCTAGCTCCAGACACTCTTTCATAGAATTCCATCATTTTTTCTCGTTCTTCAAATAACCAAAAGAATGGTGTCATAGCACCAATATCTAAGGCATGTGTGCCAATAGCCATAATATGATTTAACAAACGAGTAATTTCCGCAAACAATGCTTAAAAACAGAAACTTATTAAAACAACTCTTTAATGTAAAAACAGTTTTTTAAATACAGAATAACCTTTTTATAACAGACCCCTTATAAGACAGAAATCTTCTTACAATGGATTATAACAACAGTACCATACAACCTATATCCAGTATATTTAACTCTCCCTATAAATCTTTTATAGTGAAAAAATCATGTGGTACCGAATCATTCTGTTATAAGGAGGTTTCATTGAATATGATGTATGTTCTTACTTCTGATATACTTTGCCCTTAGTGGTATATCAATGTTCAACAATTTTTCCACAGCCAATGAGTAACACTGTTCATTACACATCATAGATACATAATCAAGGCGATCAAAATATGGTAATGCTTGAGTATATGTTTTGTATTCAATTAACTTTTCTGTACCACGATGTAAAAGTCCAATATGAGGATCTGCACGTATAACGACCTATAATTTAGCAAACATACTAATGCAATTATGATTTATTTGATATTTGTTATTCACTAGTTTCACCTCTCCAGCCAGTTCCAGTACTAATCTAAGTACACCGTGGGCAGCTGGATGTTGTGGTCCAAAATTGATGGTCATGTTTTTCACTTCTCGTTCAATAGGCTGAGGATTAGAATTCCATGCTTCCACCTTCCAATCGCCGGCTTCTTCTGGCACAAACATAACAGGTCGCTCGAATTTTTTCATTTCCTCGACTCCGGGATACCATTTAGATGCACTCCTAACATGTCTATAAATAATAATTAATAGTTGTGAGTATTATGCAGTGTAAATAATTTAATATTGATCTATACTTACTGATAGATTCGGTCATTTGCTGCCAAATACTTCGTTAGATGGCTCAAGTTATTTCTTTTCACCAAATTCAAAACTGAAGCCATTTTTAATGTGAAAACTTCTATGACACAATAAGACCGAAATGGGAAACTTTGGAGAAAAGTTCCCTAGAGTAGACCCTATTATCCTATCTCTATTGAAATTTTCTAGTGAGCGATTTAATTTTATCATTCTCTATCACTATTTTCTGTAGGTCTTCCATGGAAGAATAAACTATAATACCAGGGTTTTAAAAATATTTGATAATAGGTACTATGAGCCGGATTGATATCTACCTATATAGGTATTGTCCACAAGAACGATTGCAGAAAAAATTTTAAATTTCCAAATAAGATTAATTAATAATTAATATCCCCAAACTTTAATTTTTCGACTGTCAGTTTTTATATTTCTCTATTGGTTTTCATGATGCTAAGTAATTTGTCATTTCCCAATCTAATTTCTACCGTAGGGACATTATTACGTAAGTAATTGAAATAATTAAGCAATATTTTATTAAGCTGAAATTTAAAATTAACTAAAGACAATTGCAGTTAACTTATTAAAGACATGTATGTTTAAATTATTTATTTAGTTCGCAACAGTGTTCGACATGCGTCCAAAAAATCTGGTACAAGTACTGCTAATGTCGGTGGTCGAGTTCGTCCTAAACATAGAGGTATCAGATATAACGATGGCCGTGAAGTTCAGGCAGGCACCATGTTAGTGTTGCAAAGGGACCTAAGATTTCATCCAGGTCTTCATGTAAGTTGATACTAGCTTATTTAATATTTGAAATATTGAATTGATAACTGATTTGTACATACAGGTTGGTTTTGGGCGCAACGGCACATTGTTTGCTTTGGAACAGGGTAAAGTGGTTGTTTCATGCGAAAAAATGGATCCAAATTGGAATCACACTTGGGTTCAAAGATTTTATGGCAACCGTAAAGGGCAAACAATTTACAAAAAATTCTTTAACATTATTCCAAAGCCACAACACAATCGATTTAAACTTGTTGAATCTATTTAAGCCGTTGTTAAAATTAAGGTTTCAGTCTATGAAATCTATTACTGTAATATTTTGTAGAAATTTTTTAATCATGTTTGTATGAAATAAACATATTATATAGTAATTTCATACTTACCTATTCATTTTAATTTTAATTTTATTGTATATTTAAATAAATTTGATCAATTATCATATTATTCAAATTAAATAATATTATAGTTGCATACCTACTTAGGTTGAAGTGACGAAAAGTTTTATAAATGTGATTTTAGATTCTGAGTGGAGTAATGAATGTATTAATTTTACAATGATGTTTTATTTTTATTTTTGTGTCTGTCATCACTGCTTGGGGCAGTATAAGTGCTTCGGTCGATGTATTGTTTTTAGACCTATCCTTAAACATATTTTGTATGTTTAATATGTGTCTTCTGATGTCTGTACTTATGTCAGCTTTGTAAAATAATTGAAAATCATATGACACTTTAATAATATCTTTTTTGCTAAAAATTAAGGGGTAGAAAAAAATAAACCTATTGGTTACTTCATACAAACTGTTGAATTTTTCTGTAAGTTGAACAGTTGCTGTATTAAGTTTAGATAACAAAAACCAATACTCTGAATTTTTAACTAAAATTAGGCCATCATCAAAATATTGTGTTGAATAAATAAAGCGTCAAACAGTAAATTGAATCCATTGCATAAAATGTTAAATTTTTATAGTTAAGGATTGAAATATTAAAACAAGAATTCTTTAGTTCTTTAGTTCTTTAGTTGGTAATCGTTTAATTATATTGAACTTTGCATATTTAAATATTTGACATTAATTATTCGAATAAATTGAATATTCTCAGTTATTTTCAAAATATTGGTTAACAAAAATAAAATTTAAAAAACCAGGAATTTTTATTTAAAGTCAATTTTTCGATAAAATCTATTTTGTTTTAATTTAAAAACTCATAATTAGAGCTAATATTTTAATGACCTAAAAAATACAAACAAATTCAAATATGACCTAAAAACTGTGAAAAAATGACCAAAAAAATGTACTTATATGAGCGAAAAAAATTTATTTTAAAAATAAATATTATTAATTATTAATTATAAACATAACATACTTGTGAATGTAACCGCTTCTCGATATAATTATTCTGAAAAATCAATAAAAGCATAAATTAAAATAATTTAATGAAAAATATATCATATTTATTTTTCACCTGTACACATATCATTGCATTGCACAATAAGATGATTCTCAAGATTTTCAAACAGGAAGCTGCGACGGCGGTCAGATTAAATGTTTATATGTGAAGAAAAACTTCGTTCAACGTCCTTAGAAGTAACAGGGGCATATTTTAAATGAACCATATCATTTAAAGTTAGGTCTTCCGGAATACCATCTCTACTTGTTGTATTTTCACCGCCCAGAATAGCAGATATATTTTTTAAAACTTTGAACCCATTATTTTTCATCAAAACATTTTTCAGTTTGTTTGATATTGTTTTTCCGATTACATTAGGAGCAAGGGACAATTTAGTCTCAATTTGTTTTATTTTATTAATAGATACTGATAATAAGATTCCAGAAGCCTCCAGATTTTTTATTTCTGAAGGAATGAAACCAAAATTAGATTATATATAAATTAGATTAGCCTCTAAACTTGATTTAGACATAAATTCTTTTGCTTGTTTTATAGTAGTCGAATCATCATGATTTAATTCAAGCAAAACTTTTTTTACATCAGAAAAATTCTCAAAAAAGTAATTTAAAGGATTTAGCCAGGTTCCCCATCGCGTGATTACGGGTTCGGGTGGCAATGGAATTCCCGGAGCAAGAGTTTTAATCATTTGTGTACGATATGGCGATTTTAAAAATATTTTTTTTACACAACATAAGTTTATTGACATCTTGAAAATTTGATCTTATTTCTTTCGCAACTCTGTGAATTGCATGCGCCACACAGGTAACAAGGCACCATTTTTGAATACAGAGTGCAAATGGCTCTTGCTGCTTTCACCATATATATGGGTGGCAGCATCAAATATAAAAACGAGGGCATTATCGTGTTTTATTCCTTCAGGCCATAATGTAAACATGGCGTTATCGAACGCTTTTGCAATGGTTGAATGATTTGTTTTTTCCAAAACACCAGAATATAACAAAAATATTTTTCCTGAATTTTCTGCTTCCAGGGTACCAATAACGATATTTACTACATAACGGCCTTCAACATCTGTTCGTTTCATCTACACTAACCCGCATTTTTTTGTCGTTAACATAGGGTCTAATATTTTGTATTGTATTTAAATTTTTCAACATAATTTTTACGCAATGTAGACTCGTCTGGGATTTTAAATTTTATATTTTTCCTAAAACATTTCTAAAATTTGTGTTATTTAATTTAGCAAGTGGAATATTAGCTGCTAATAATGTTTCACAAAGCTCTAAATTAAATGACGATTGATAACTATTATTTGTTAAATTAGATAATAGTAGTATTAGTATAGTACTTGATTATTTCGTTTCACTTCATTCAGTTTTCGTTGAATTCCACGAGCATGCTTATCTCGACTGATGTGTTGTTGAATTGTAAATTTCTTTTCGGAGGCAACTGCAACACTACAAACTTTAAAAAAGCACCATACCGTCCGTAGAAAAAATATCGGCACCAAACTCGCTCACAAAACTACGTAAACGGCTTCCTACTGTTGACTTAATTTTTGGCATTTTGTACAGTTAAGATCGGTAGAACCACATAGGTACGTGTCGAATTCACTACTAAAGCTACTATTGTATACCTAAATAATGGGTTCGTTCGATATTTAATCTTATCGGATAAATCGACAATTAACTATATTACTTTTTCAATATCAATGGACTGGAGTAGGTAATTGCCTATAGGTACTAATTGGGATTATCTTCAACATATATTAAAAAAGCTTAAAATAAACAAAAATTAGTTAAATGCACAAAATGAACGTAATATTTGTAATATTACGTAAAAATGACCTTAAAAATGAAATAAAATGCATTCAACACAAAAAAATGCAAAATAAAAATTACATATTTTAAATTATTATATTACAAAGCAAAATTAGTTTTTGATTAGAATTGTGTAACACTTGGAGAAAAAAATGCAAGTCACCAAAATCCAAGCTCTAATAATTGTAGATATAGACATATAGTTAACATTGTTACCTACCTAAAATTATATTTGAATTTTCTATACTCAATAACATTTAAAAAATATAAGACACTGGGAGCTCTTTTTTTTACCTTAACAACAGAAATGTTTTCTGGAAAGTCAAATATTTTATGAGCGTTTGAAGTTGACATTTTTACGCCATTGGATATTCACTCGATTTCTCATGGAACGGTTTTCTTTTTTTGTTGTAATTCAAAAAAGAATAATCATATATATACTTGAAATTTTCACCAAATACTAATTTTATAATTTTATATAAGCAGTAGGTACATGATCAAATCTCAATACATTTTGACTCTTTGAGTTATTTATAGATACGATTTGACAATTTGTAACAAGCATTTAATGTTTAAATTTTGATAGAACAAGTTAAAATCTTGAAAATTTGAAAAAATTATTTCATTGTCAAAAATGTTGAAGATATTCAATTTGTATAGCTCAGGATTTAAAATTTAAAACAATTTGATCGAAATTTGATATTTGAACAAAGAAAACAATTTTAACTTTTTTGTTGTAATTTTTAAAATATTATTCATGGGTAGGTGTCTGCTTTTACCTCAAAGTTTATTATTTTAATATGGGTACTATAATAATAATTTATTTTTATAATATATATTATAATATATTTTTATATTTAATAGTGACAATGGCATTTTAAAATTCATTATTTTTTTCATAAAATGATTTCAACCTAACCTACAGTGTTTTTTTTTGTGTACAATGGTTCTATATACCAACTTACCTACCATTTTTGATTTGCTTCTAGTCATCAAGTTTTAAGAGAACGGACGAAGACAAGGGTGACAATAACCCGCTGTCGAAGACCACCCAGACGTCGATATGCAATGAATAAAAACCTGGTAGCTAAAAACACTATAATTGCAGTTTCACGATAGAAAATATTTTTTTGGAGTCTAGGGTCGAACCAAACATCTAGGTATGGGCTGGTGCTGCCACGATGTCAGCCGCAGAAACGAATTCACACAATGTACTGTATCGAGAACATTTACAGAAAGATTATGAAACTCTCAATATTCCGAACCATTCAGCATTTTGTAGAAATCAGGTGCTCAAAAACAAGCGATCATTTGGCTCAGAAAATAAAGTGCCACTGATCACAGCACCTACCGGAATGCTAAATTTGTATCAGATAATTCAAGAATTAGAACTCGAATACAATTGTAAATTTAAATTTTTACCGCCCTCTATTGGTAAATGCCTTAGAAAGTGCTAAAAAAACGCAGACCTGTTTTTGGATCCAGTGTACTTAGTCAATAATGACGTCAATGATGTTTTGCGGTACCCTTTGTGGTATGGTCTTACACCGATGATTTATATGTATATTGTTTGGATCTTAAAATGTTTCTAAAATCCGTTTTCTTGAACTCCGAATCTACACGTTGGTATATGACTGAGCGCTCTAAAGTCTTCCGATTTGATTAAATCGAAGACGAAATTGAAGCCTTATTCTTCGACTACTGGAGCCGGTCCACTGTCGATCTTATAAAATACGATGAAAACGTGTCCAGGCATGATCTTAAAAGTATACTTCAGTATTTGTTCCAGAAACTGTGTGTTTTATACAAAGTAGGTAAACCAAAAGGGGATCTCGGATTATTTTTAACGAATTTTAGAAGATTAGCCGAGTTTGATTCGAACAACATCATCATACCGGCGAATTGTCAATTATTTCTAAAAAATGACAATCAACAGTTTGGCCGTTTGGGCAGATCTCTTGACTAGCGATCAGACCCTGTGGTGCGCTTTTTTTAACGAAATGAAGGTGCAGCATTACATAACGGCACATACCATTTCAGCGATGTTCAAAACACTAGATCGTCGTTTCGAATTTATTATGAGCAAAGCTGCGCAAGTGCGCACACTCCGCGGTAAATCGTTTCCTGACGTTAATCTGTGG